GGTAGCTCACTGAGATTTGAGAGGAAAAAAATGAGTCATTGTTTTGGTTACCCACAAATATGCTACATGTTTGTAGAATATTTCATGAGAAATTCGAAGAAATTTCTCCACAAAGTTTTATCTGCTCAAAACGATAAAAATCTTCTTTTTTTCACTTCTCTGTTTCAAAACAAATTCTTCAAAAGATTAAATTAAACTCAAGTTGAAGAGAAATTGAAAGATTTTAGTTACCATATTCCGAGAAGCTTTCTCTACCTTTCTATTGAAGCCCATAATGATGAGATACGCGAAAAATATGAAAAGCAGCACAAGAGATTCCCACCTAAGAAAACACGCGATTCAATTAAAACTTAAAGTTAATAAATTGTTGAAAAAGTAACAAATGAAAAAATTCAATTTTAGCTCAATTCACTTCAAGTGTGAGAGAGAGTGCGTTCATAATAAATTAAGAAAGAGATTTAGATAAAGGAATAACATAAAAAGACTAGTTGAAGCTTTTTATACATTACCATTGAACAATGTTGTCTTCGATGATCCAGATAAGAGTTATAACAGTCACTGCATAAACTGAACAATCTCTCGCTATTGGATACCAGTCTATATCAAGAACCTATAAAAGCAAAATTTTTATTTAATTGAATTAACAAACAGGAGAAAAATAGGACAGAAAGAAAAAAAAAAGTCAAACTATTTCGTTACCTAATTACAGAAAAACCAAAATATGGAAACGCTTCTCGTATGCTAACTCTTTGTGAATAATCTTTTTTTTCAGCAGCAAAAATGTTTTTGTTGATGGCAAAACTGTAGGCACAATTTGAATGGTCATGATTGAAACTTTTAGAAATTATGTCGTTTTTACCTATTTAAAGCTCGGTTCGATCAGATGAGGGGAGGAAGTTAATAACTTTTTCCAAGCTTTAATACCAGCAATTTTGAAACCATTTTTGTAAGGTTGTAATACAGTGAAACTTCTAGCAGGAAAGACAACCTCGATGTAGCTACCACCTCTATTTACGACCGCTTTTACGGGAGGCACGGAATATTTTCCATAGACTTTGTGTTGAAGAAAACCTTTAGAATAGACCAGTAACACCTCTCCCAGTGACCGGGAAAATATGTGCACAAAATGCGGAAAAAGTTAATTAAGAAAACACGAAAAAATATCAAAACAAAAAATGGTTGCAAAACAAATAAGTAGATTAAAATTAATTCAAAATATTTGAGTGAGGCTCTTATTTAGAGAGCTCTTTTTGACGATACAACCTCCTGTTGCAGACTAAAGACGATGCTATATCAATGATTTACTTCTAAAGTTAAAAGTTAAATTAGAAGAAAAAAAAGTTTTTTTTGAAAAAAGAAATAAACATTTTCTCATATTTTAAAGCTATATAATTTTTGTGACACAAAATTAAACGCAAACTTAAACAAAAAGCATAATTGTTCATTCATTTAAAATAGTTCTATCATTAATAACTGGTACATTTGTTTTCACACATAATTATATCAGTTGAGATCATTTTTATAGACGCAAAATTTTACTCATCGATGCGTCTTTTCATGACACCAACAGAAGTGGTGTACCAAGAAAATGACACTGACTAAAATTAAAAGCGTTAGCGAAAACTTACGTACCTTCGATAACAATTTTGAAGTCAATGGAGTAATCTAAGAACGACCCACCTCCATTAACGACCATTTTACTGTGGAACGGTCGCTCCTTAGAGGTTTCACTGTATTAAAACTGCAATGCTTTGCTTTTTTAATGGTATTTGGAAAGGAAGGACGCTCTTAACTTCCTACCGTCATTTTGGCCGATGCAAGTTTTGCATGGGTAAAAAAGACACCATTTCTAAAAGCTTCGAACATGATCTTTATAACTGTCCCAACAGTTTTACTATAGGAAATATTTTCTGAAAAAAGAAAGATTGTTTACAAAGATCTAGTATAAAAGTGTCACTACATTTTTGTCGTACTCTTGTATGTATTTTACTCTATCTTTTTGCTGCTTCGTTTTTTTAAAATAAATTTCCGCAAATATGCAGAATGTACAATGCGCAACAATAGAAAGTAAACGCCTTGAATAACTTTTGATATAGTGATCGGATTTTTACGTAATAAGACTCAGTCTTAATGGTTGGAAGGTCTAACCTTAAATATGTTAATCAATTAGAACATGTAACATTTTGAGTTACGAAATCAGACACCAAAACGTACTTTCACCGAAGAAACATACATTTTCCCGACAGATTCGTGTTTCTGACTCCCAAAATATGGGAGATAACGCAATCTAGGAAATACGGTCACCGTAGTCTGGCTAGGTGAGTGGTCCAAAGTTTGGACCCCTAAATGCTAATTTTATTTTTGGTGTATCGTGTTGTTGTTAATTTACGTCGCACTAGAGCTGTACAATGGGCTATTGGCGACGGTCTGGGAAACATCCCGGAGGATGATCCGAAGACATGCCATCACAATTTTGATCCTCTGCGGAGGGGATGGCACCCCCGCTTCGGTAGCCCGACGACCTGCGCGCGAAGTCGAGCACTTTACGGTAGCACAGTTTAATGAGGACCAATACCGCACACCCTCGGTCCCTACGCAGACTGATCCAAGTGGTCACCCACCCACACACTGACCGTAGCCAGTGATGCTTGACTTCGGTGATCTGCTGGGAACCGTGTCTTAATGATCAGTCCACTGCGGAACTAGGTCAGTATTCATAATGCTTAGTTATTATGAATAATGACCATTAAAATTGGACAATTTGATAAATTTGAATTATTTCTCACATTGCCCGGTCATTATAAATACCGCTATTATTTCTTTGGGTACTTTGATTAATTGACAGCAATGGGACAACCACGTACGTGTGGTGTGATTCTGGCTGGCCAATCGTGAGAACTTATTGTAAAACATATTGTGAGGACTTTTTAAGCTAATTGAAAAACTTTTGCACGCAGTTATAAAATTATTTTATCCCAAGATAATTCCATGAAAAATATAAACTTTAGACAACCGATTCGATCAGATTCGTTTTAATGACGTGTTGGTCGGAATTTCGGTTGAATTTTTTTAGAAGGATTTAAATTCTTTATCATTAAAATACTTACCCCTCTTGGGTGAAGTCGTAACCGCAATCTAGAAAAACTGTCCTTATAGTTTAGACTGGAACAGTCGAACGCTTGTGTCTTTTCATATTAATTTCACTTTTTGCGTATATTGCTATATCGTAGAACTTTTTAAGACTTTTTAAAAAAAATTTTTACTCAATTATGAAAAGATTTTATTAAAAGATAATTCCATGCAAAAAATAATTTTTTAAAATTATCTATTCCTTTTTTCTGTTTTATTTAATAATAGTCGAAAAAACTTCGCATAGCGTTTTAAACTTAAAAAGAATTTTTGAACTTTTTTAGGTATATCAAGCGTCTTAAAATGCTATTTTTAGGATTTTCAAGAAATAACTTTTATCTAAATAGTTTACGAAAATCTCTATATCTCTAAGTACCATATATATTTTCCCTTCTTTTTCTTCCTTAAATGCATTTTTTTTAAATGCATTCCACCCTGACATTGCGTAAGCGCAATATTTGATGTAAAAAGTATCTTTCTTTAAAAGAAAAGTAATAAAGAATTAGCGCTCAAGTTAAGTTGATACTGTTTTACTGTTACTATAGCTGACAGCTTTAGTTTTAAAAATTTCACGAATGCATAGTATCAGATCAAAATATAAATACATAGAAATAGTTATATAGGTAAGCATAAATTGTTTTCTTTCAACGATATAAATTTAAAATGTGAAAAATTATATAATTGAGTTACCATTTTTCGCTCTTTTTATTTTTTCTTTTTAAATTCTTTTTTTATAAAAATTATAGAACTGAAAGTTTTGTGGTTAATAGGTAATTTCTATTAGCTTCAATAATTGTAATCAGATTCATCAATTCAGTTTATCAGATAATCAGAATAAGTGGAGATTTTATAATCGTCGTTGAACAGGTAATCCAATTTTGAGTTTACGACTACTAATGTTCAACTCTGTGGCCTTGCAATTCTGAACCCAATCCAAAAGGCAAGGGAACTCCTGGTTTAAGTATTGGGAAAAACTTGCTTTTTGGAGGACTTTTTGATGGAACTAACCCGCCTTTGCGCTACATGGTGAGGAAAACCACGTAAAACTGACGGAAAGGGGACTCTAACCCATGATCTATCTACCACTGAGGATACTTTATGTCTGCACTGTGGTCTGGTTGGTGAGAGCTGGGTGCGGAATCGTATCGACCAGCCGATACTGGGATTTGAACTCATCACTTCATTGGGAGACGAGGCCCTGGACCACCATAGCCCAATAAATGAAGCTTGAAATAACTTATTAGAGTAAATTTAAATGTAAGTCAAGTAAAAAAACATTATTTATTTCACTTTTTTTAAAATTCATTATATTAATCACCAAAATAATCAGAGAAAGTTAAAAACATTGGTATAATTCGTATAATTTGTTTTTGTTGTATAAGATTTTTTTCACGGTTCTTAGACTTTTTTATATCACCGATTTGGAACATCGACTATCGATTAAGCATTGCCCGAACCAGGATATAATTCCCTCGAGTGAATACTAAGCGTCCCTACTTCTTTGTTAAGCAGGGAGTGGTATAAAGAAGGCGATAATACATTTCAGTTTATTTTGCGATAAATTAAGGTTATATGTTTTTTTGTTAAATATCATTTTTCAAAAAGCATTCAAGTGTACATATATGTACTTACAACCGTAAATTATTTTTTTCATTTGTAGAATAATAATAATAATAAACTGAACTAAAAATGCCGCTTTGAAAAAAATTCTTTAGCTTTCGGTACAAAACTAATTTCGGATTTGAAATCCCCACACCTGAATTAGGTAGTATCAAGTATTTGTATAAATGCAACAAAAAATTTGTTCCACCGAGAAACTCATACGGATATATGAAAATAAAGATAGGAGTAAATGCTTTTTTCTATTTTACCTGACTCCATATTGCTATTCCAACGATTCCTGAAACTCCTACGATATTAAAAACAGCTGAACCGACTATAGTTCCAACACCTATATCACCTTCTGTTATAAATGAACCTGAAAATATCAACAATTAAATGGCATTAACTACAATTTTTATTTATACAAACAGTTATAACCAATTAAATTCAAGCATCAAAAACCTAAGTTTTTTTTTAGAATTTTGTAACGTCAAGGCTGCCAACTGTTTTGCTTTTCGTTAAATATTGACAAGCAATTAAAAATTAAAGTTTTTAGAACTTTGGGTAATTTTATCAAGATTTTAAAGGCCTTCGCTGTATGAGAGCTGTAACAAAATGGCATTTCCTATAAGCTTTTGAAACATTTACATGGCATGTGTGGAAAATAACTTAAAATAAAATATTCAAACAAAGAATCACACATTAAGACATAAAACTTAGCTATCACTAGAAGAAATTTTTCACAAAGCGTAGTAAATTGGCATTTCGGTCAAACGGTAGTGAAATAGTTATAGTCAGAGTCGAGGTTGCTCGAGGCCTTGTTGGCCTTTTACCTCTCGATCATGTGGTACATAGTCTTCTAGAAGTTTTAATCATGTATTAAAAGAAGAAATTAAGAGAAAAGAATAGCTTACAAAACTATAAAATGGATGCAAGAAAATAATTGGTTATTGTGCCGCTACTGCAGCTCCTGTAAAATTAACAATTAAAATTTATTGCAGCGCCATGGGAGTGTGGTGATAATATAGTGAAGTTATTTGTCCCTGGGTCAAGCCGTTTTTTGACAAATCTATTAATGAGAGTAAGATTCACTTAAAAATTTATTTGAGGTAATGACTACACTAGTGAAAAAGTGAGCTAGGGGTCTAGTTTTTAAAATTTCTTAGAGAGTTTTAGCATCAAAGATTTTTTTTTTGTAATTAGCAGTAGTACATTTGAGAGCTTTTTTTTTTTTTTTTTTAAAAATTGAGTGTTTATGATCACAAGTGTTTCAGTTAAAGTTTTAAATTTAAAAATCAGAGTTGTTCTTATGTGGTTAGTGAAAAAATTGTATTACTAAATATCATAATGAAAAGTCATTCGCATGTACAGAGATTAAACCATCATACCCCTTATACAGAGACAATGTCCAAGTTTAGGTTTAAATGTTGACATGATGACTATATTCAGCTCGTTTTGTTCCTATTTTTAAGAGTCAATAAATATTTAATCCGTAAATGACCTGCTAGTGCTTTCTTTTTCTGCACTGTGTTATTTTGTATCTGAAAAATAAATACTAAAAATAAAACAATTTTGTTACCATTTTTTAAATCTTTTTTAAAGAAACCGTTTTAGATACGAAAGGGTTGAATAAACCAATACCAATGGTTTATTAAGCTTCTTAGCTTTTTTTTAAGATAAAAAGGCTATTACTTTATTTTAAACAGAAATTTCTTCTTGAAATTATTTTCGTCAAAAAGTAACCATTTTTTCGTGTATAGCTTGATGTAAAGTAGTAAGTACAAATCACAATTTTGAAAAACTAAGTAATATGAAATCCGCAAGCGACGTAGTGTGAGTATCTCGATCCTGATTGGCTGTTGAAATGTGACATTTGCTTGCGTTGGCAACTCCTCTTTCCATTCTATATCTAGTAAGTCAAGCCCGTCAAGTATCAATTCCCCTTAGTGACACATTCTGTATTCTTTCAAGAAAGATTCCTTCGCAAAGATTTAAATTATTTCACTATATATTTCTTACTTAACATAAATACAGCCACGAAACTATGTAGAACATAAGCAAACTAATTATGCATCGAATTTGCTAGGCATACAAAACAAAAATGTATCGCGCTTACAATAAAATGCATAAACAAACAATAATTCTAAGTTAAGAAATAGATATTGACGAGAAAGGATTATATTTCAACAAATTCGATGTGCTATATGGCACAGTATTTAATTAACATAACGTTAATTAACATTCTAATTTATGTAAATAAGAAACTTAGCTCAACTGTAATACGCCATTTCGTTTATAAACGAGCAGCTGGCGCAGAGGTCATTGGTCACATGTGGGGGCTTTCGTGATCTTCTTCGTCTTGAAACATCCAGTTCTCAAAATATAAAGACATTTTATACGATTTTTGAACGTGTAGCGTATCAAGCTATATTAAAGAACTGTTCAGTTTTTTTATAAAAAACTTTTATTTACAAACAACACGAACAATAACAAATATGAATTACCCGTAACGGGATAGTGAAAAGATCATAAAACAGCAAGAAAAACCCGTAACGGGATATAAGGAAACTCACCCGCAGCGGGATAGATAAAATATTATAAAACAACTAGATAAAGTGCCCGTAACGGGATATATGTAAACTCAAATTCCACACAAAACTAATTCTAAAAAAATCAACAACTTTCTGGTGTTCTAATTTTATCGTCTGCTTTTATTATTTAAATTTATCTTTTTATGTGTTTATTTTATTTATGCTTTTGCCAGCGTGTTAGTTTTTAATATTTTTACTTTTATTCATGCTTTTGCAAACCAATTATCTTTCTTATATTTTTAGACTTTATAAGAGTAAATGCAAAACTTGCTCTGAAAAGTTAGCGCCGTTCCTACACAGACGGGAGTTTATACCAAGTCCTTTTGAAAGACAACATGGCCAAAAACAGCCTGCTTTTATTTGACGAATTATGACGAGCTTTGTAATTAATTTCGAAAGTCTGTGAGAATAAAACCTGTTTTTTAAAGTAGAAAGCTCCAAACCGTACAATTATATTATTTTCTTGTTTTTAATTTTTCAAATCGTCTGCTATTTTTGGGACAACCGGTATAAATATTATATTACATTGGTCTCAAAAGTCTTTCTTCAAGATAATACTAATTAACTGAATCATTATTTATTACCTGTTATGGAAGAAAATAGTTCTGGAGCTGAAGTTCCAATTGCCATGAATGTTGCCCCAGCGATGTCAGAAGGTAATTGCATACCTGGAAGAAAAAGAAAATTAGCTTTATAATAGTCTTTTGCCGTTGATTGAAGCATATATTCTTGATAGTGAAAGGTGATTTTTTCTTTCTGTTATGCAGTAATATTTAGAATAAATGCATTTTGACTTTGTTAATTCCGACACAGCTACATATTTGTTTTAAATTCATTGCCTTGAGGGCTTGCCTCCCAATGAGGTGACCCGGGTTTGAATCCCTAAGCGAATCCGGCTCTCGGCTCACACTGACCACAGTGCTTCCGCTAAATATCCTCAGTGGTAGACGGATCATGGGTTAGAGTACCCTTGTAATCAGGCTAATCATGGGCGTTTTTCTCGGTTTTCCTTTCCATGTAATACGAATGCTGGTTAGCTTCTCCCAATACTTGGTCCAGGAGTTTTCTTGTCTTCTGGATAAGGTTAAAAAAATTACAAGCTACGTAGTTGAACATTGATAGTCATAAACACAGAATTGGATCGGCTGTTCAACGACTGGTATAAAATAAATTGAAATAAAATTCACTGCCTTGGCCACGATGGTTCAGGAAATAGAGCACTCACCTCCTAATTGGTTGATCCAGATTTGAATCCAAGCAGTGACTGGTCGGAATTCTACTCCCGGCTAGTCCGATAGCGCGGACTTAAAATATCCTGAGTGGTGGACGGATCATGAGTTTGAATCCCCTCGCCGTTGGGCTAACCGTTTGGGGCTTTCGGGATTTTCTTTTCCATGCAATGCAAATACTAGTTAGTTTCCTCAAAAGTCTTCTACGTAGACTAATTCGTTGTTGAATGAATTGCTAATTTAATCTCAACGTCTTCACAAAATTCAAAGAGGTGCGGCTCACTTGCCTTAAAAAACTAATGAGTTATTCAAATTTCAGCTTTCATTTTATTTTAATTGTAGCGCACTTTTATGTTTTTAAAACTAAAGTTAATCATTTTAATAATTAAAATTATTGCAGTGTAACTATTATAACTGACACTGTATTATTGCAACTGACCAAAAATGTCATATTTTTCTACCATTTTCTATTTTTTAATAACATTCATTATTACTCTAAATTATGAAAGGTTCGTAATGCAGTGTTATTAACTATTATCCTGAAAATATTAGGTTTCAGTTGAAATTACCAGTCTGATTTGTTTTAATTTTCCTTACTCGGGTTAAAAAATCTTTCTAAATTCGCTGTTGATGAAGTTTTGTTTCCGAACTTTCTCGTGCACCTGCGAAAAAATTAACAATTCAACTTAAATTTAATCACTCGGGTAAACTCACATTTTAGTCAGACATCTTATTCGCACCTGCGGTCGTAAACTATATTATTAATGAAGAAATATACTAGCGTTTCTTCTTGCTGTAGCAATAGTGGTTGCTAAAAAGATTAGCGAGTTAAGAAGTACAGATGAGTGACAAAATAACACGAACACATCCAGAGGCGTACATAGACTTAGGTGAGCCCCTTTGCAGGATTTGTGAATGAGCCCTATCTTAGCCTGAACACAAAATTTTTGAAATATAACATGAAACAGAAGCAAATTAATTAAAATTATTTTAATTTAAATTAATAATTAGTTAATAATTGTAATTGAAAGGCGGAATTTAGAAAAGTTACTAAATTGAAACATGGTATACACTCACCGAATTAACACATTGAAATAAAATTTATCGTAATAATGCGAGAACATAACTCACTATTTAATTAATGGTTATTATTAATTGCAAATTAAATTTAAAAAAACCTTATAATAGAAAAAAAATATTTTTATTATAATTTATATGGTGTTATTTTTCCTAGAGACTGCACCCACAAACATGAGCCCATATTAAAGAGAAAACCTTGCATGGGCTTCTATTTTTTTAACACGTTGAATGCCACGTTAATTTTTCATGGCTTGCCCGTCTGGCCAAACGGTAAATAACTATAAACTAAATTGCAAATATTAGACAGATTTTGCCAGCTTTCTTAAAAGGTATAGCATGACATATCTGAAAAAAGTGGTGAGTTATATGAGCCTACGAATTACTTAGAAATAGTGGTGGAAAAAATCCACTAAATTGAATTTATTAAACCAAGAATTACAATTAATAAACTACCACTTTAAAATATTTATTCGCTGTCCGGAGCAAGTTGGCATCTCTGTGTATATAAATAAAGCTATTTTTGTGTGTGTTTTTGGTCACTTTAATCGATAGCTCAAAATGTATTTTTCGTAAATAACAATACTGGTTTGTGGACTGTAAACACTTTATTTTAAATACTCGCGGACTACGTCCGCCATTTATGAAGTTCTCAAGGTATATAAAAAAGTCTCTCACACAGGGGTGGCGCGGCAGTCGCACATGAGCGAACAGTGTGTTCTATATTGCATTGATTTATTCAAACCATTTTAGTAACGATAATAATATAAAAAATTAAAAATTTACTCGAATTATGTGTTTCGAAAAATCTTGACTTCACCGGTCACCGATGACCCCCGTGGCGCTACGAACAAATTCAGTGCAGGTCACCGGTGACCCCATGGCATTCAACGTGTTAAAGTAAAATTAAAGTTATTCAAAATGTGCAGAATGCAATAAATAAATTAAGGAATCACTCTGAATAACTTTTAATCTGGAACACAATCTTAATGGCGTAGGAGGGGGGGGGCGACCTAAAATATGGCATTTATTTAATGAAGATGATACTATTTTAAGTGACGAAATCCGACATAAAAATGTACTTTCTTCAAATAAATAAGCATATCTTTTTTCGTCGGATACGAAGTTTTAACTCTCAAAATATAGGAGGTACCCGCAATCTGGATAGTATGATCACGATAGTTGCGCCAGGTTGAGTAATTCACCATACCTTGGGAATTTTTTAAGCAAATCGAAAAACTGTTTGCTCGCAATTATGAAATTTGTTTATCTAAAGATAAGTTCATGCAAAAATTATTTCGAATAATTATTTATTATTTTTTATTTAGTTACAGTGAAAAAAAATTTGAATTCTAAAGTATAAAAAAATTTAAATTATTTTAAAGAATATAATTTCCTAAGGCAAAATACAAAATTTAGCAGAATCGGTCGGATAGTTCCTCAGAAATCGATTTTAAAGTATATTTTTAGGGTCAGAAATCCAAATTTATCGAAAAACGCTTAGGTATGCTTATTCAGAGAAAGTACGTTTTTGTGCCTGGTTTCGCAATTTAAAATATCGTAGGCACTAATAAAATAGTAAATTTGAAATCTCCCCCTTTAACCATTCAGATTGAGTCCTAGTAAGTGAAGATTTGATCATTTGATCAAAAGTTATTCAGAGTGATTCGCTTTTTTTCCATGCACTGCACACATGATTTTCTCACCCTTAAATTTTTTTTAATGATTTTTATTGTGTACCTTGAATTATAAAACTTAGCTTGTGTTTAAAGTTGGTACATCAGAAATTAAAAAAAATACATAAATTTATTTTAATTTTAAGGAACTTTCAGCCCTAAACCAAGCTCAAAGATCGTCTTACAAATACTTATTTTTATCAACAATTAAAAGTTTTCATTTGAACAATTAATTACANCATCAAAAATTAAAAAATTACATAAATTTATTTTAATTTTAAGGAACTTTCAGCCCTAAACCAAGCTCAAAGATCGTCTTGCAAATACTTATTTCTATCAACAATTAAAAGTCTTCATTTGAACTATTAATTACATTTTTCCTTAATTATTACTATTAGTGCATTGCTGTTACATGGAATACTTTTACACTTATTCACGTATTTACAGAGCGGACAACTTGCTCTGCTTTGTGAGTAGTTTTTGTCTAATGGTAGCAAAATTTATGTATAAATGTATGATTGCTAGTTTAGCAAATTTGAATGAAAATTATGTTGCCCACCATGCTCATAAATAATTCAAAATTGTTGCTGATAATTTTGCTCATAAATAATTCAAAATTGTTGTTTCATAATTTTGCTCATAAATAATTCAAAGTTATTATATAAATAACTACCACCTTGATTTAAGAAAACTATCTATCATTTTATTCTTTTTTTATTAAATAATATTGTGAAAGACTCTGACCCCTAGTGCATAGCTGCCAGCTCTTCCAGTTTTCTCAGAAAATCTTATTTTCATTTTTAAAGTGGTAGCGAAACTCAGGTTATTCTTTTCAAGTCTTTTAGATTACAATAATATTTATAAATGAGTTCGGTTCCTACTACATATAAATAGTTACCACAACTATATAAAAGTATAATAGTCTTTACCGTAACGAATTTCAACCCTGTCAAAGAGTAAGATTTTTTTTCAGTAATTGTTCTACTACCACTTGGAAAATACATTTTTGGAAAGAGTAAAAATCGGCAGGTATGAAAATGCGTCAAACACAAGTAATTAGGCGATGAATAATAAGTGATTGTATTAAAAGCCTGCATTATTAAACTGGCACAAGAAAAAAAAACTTTCTTGAAAAGGTTAAAGTTGGTTGCTATGTATTTACAAACAGAAACATGTTTATTTTTTACTTACTAGCGGAAATGATTTCCAAAGATGGTATGAAGTAGTCTTTGCAGACTATGCCAATCATGGCGCAAATGTAGAACATGATCAAAAAGTGAATTACAACTCCGCCATGCAATCTCTGTTCTTGCGTCAAAAAATCTGACGGAAATGCATCGATTCCTGATGGGATACATTGTATCAAACTTGTATTGGATACTTCAAGAAGTACTCTATCTGCAAGACAAAAAATAAATTAAAATGACCCACTATTGTATAATTTAAGCTGTTCTCTACCATTAAAAATGCTCAAATCAAAAATGTATTCTGCTGAATTAAGCAAATTTATTTCTATTATATTATACATAAAACCAAAATTTTGTATATTAGCCAGACAGGGCTGCCAACTTTCCACGCTTTTTGCGAATATTTATTCTAGTGGTAGTTATAGTTATGTTTTAAGGTATCGTTTTTTTTTATTCCTTCAAACTTTTTTTCCATACCACTACATACAAATTTTAAAAGTTCATATGCAACAGCTCTAATAGTGGTTGTAACATATTTTCATTACTAACTTTTTTCTTGATTAAATAAAACGTTAGTATCAAACATAAATTTGTAATAATATTTTTAAATTTAGGTTTATTCTTGCTGTTGTCGTAGGCCATTAAAGCAATTAGGTATGATTGTTCTTGTTTTTCAGTGGCGCCATCTATGGTTCAGAGTTCAACTTCTGCAACACTCCTACGTCCCTTCCGTTTATAGGGCGGACCCATTCATACATTCATTTATCCACAGATCATAATTTTAACCTGAACCAGAAAACGATCAATCTCCAGTTCAGTACACCCAGAGATATTGATTTTTTATGGGAACATGGAGGAATTTGTGAATGACCCTACAGATTTAACGTGCACCAGTCACCATTTACTGTCTTCGGCTGGCTGAATTCGGACTCCTGCTCTCACGAGTCCAGCATTCTGCCAACCAGGCGATCCCACCCCCCGTATTGTCATTTTAAATTTAAAAATGAAATACTATGGACAATTCGTAGTTGTTGGCAGCTATGCCATATTACACCAGGAGGCCATTAAATAAAATGGTTGCTAAACATTAATATGAAATACCTGTAATATTGAAAGTGGTTTTATAATTTATAGTATCACAGAGAAGACTTTGAATCCAAGGTATTAAAACAAACTCACGTTCTTTAGGTGGAAGTTGATCTTTTAAAAAATAGTCAGAGCTTACTGACCAAATAAATATTTTTAAAAAAATTAAAGCAAATAGCAAAAAGAACTATAAAAGAATAGAGACGATCTCAATTGACAGATTGACTAAGCCGCAACTAAATGTAGATATTCGGACTTAATTATAATAAATCGTTTTTTTTATCTATCTATCTATATATATATATATATATTNATATATATATATATATAAATGTTCCACGGAGTAAAAATCATTTATTTTCTTTTAAGTAATTTTTTAAAACAAGACGAAGAAAAAAATATTCATAAGTTTTCAAGAACAATACATATCGCATAATTATTCAAGCTGGCTTTTTTTTTAATCCAAAAAATAAAGGTATAACTACAAATACCGAATGGGTTACAAATCATTTAGAATACATCAAATTATCACATGTCCCAAGTCGCAGGTATTAAATAAATATATTTTCTCTAAAAAAAATGATTTTACATTAGGGCAACAACCGTTAGATACTTCAAAATTGTTTGTGTTTGCCTTGCGATAATCAGTTGATAATATTTCTTTGACTTATAGGTTTCCATAAGAAAAGATTTATTCTAAAAGGAGGAGAAAGTCTCTATTGGGAAGCCTCTAGAAGGAAGAAGAATATTTCAAGAGTTCGCATGTACTTCAAAGGTCTTATCATGCCTGATTCAGATATTTTGCAATTATTATATTTGTTCACACAATTCTTATCTTAATTTCTAAAGAAGCTGTTTTGGCATCAAAGTTGGTTTTGCTAATGCAATACTCTCAATTGCCACCTAACATGATGTGTAAATCTGTAATGAGTGTTTTAGCATACCGAATTGAAGGTTGTTACTCCTGGTACGTCTATAATTCACTTCCATGTGGGTGAAGGGAAAATCTTGCAATCGAAATTACAACTACTTTATGACTAGCTAGAGCAGGAGTTTCCAACTTACACGAGGCCGGGGGCGGCAGTTAAAAACACCAGTCAAATGGCGGGCCGCAGTTATATCAAAATTTTTATAGGACTCTTTTATGTTTGAAGGAACATTAAATATTACTGTCAGATTTTTATCAAGTTGTACAAAACGAGTGTATTAAATTGCAAATTAAAATAAGAAGTAGATTTTTAAAAATATTTAATTGCATATTAAAAAATTCAGGCCACAAAATTTGCAAACGTAAATAATTTCGTCCAAAATGAGTGGTTTCAAAAAGTTAAATCGGAGAATTTCTTCGAGACAATTTCTGATTCGCACATGCTAAATTATATTCACAAAATACAAAAGAAAAATACGAAATAAAAATGAACAACATATACGATTATTTTCGCATTTGAATAAATATTTTCTTGGATGCAAAACCTAAAAAAAATTTTTTTTATACCGTTGGTATGTTAAATTTCACAGAAACGAAGAAATTATGTTTTTTTTTTTAACGAAAGAAAAGTATTTTAAACCCATATAGAGTTTTTACGAAAATAGTCCACAAAGAAATGACAACTTATGTAATTTAGTTCGCGGGCCGGATGGGGCCCGCTGGCCTCCAGTTGGTAACCACTGAGCAAGAGCATTCAAATCTTTGTCGGAGCTCTGCGCTTTACGGCAATGCAAGTTTCTCTCAATTCCCGACCGAAGTAAATAATTAAAGGAAATGGATCGTCAATTAGAATTCCCAACCTTTTTCCATTCAACCTTTATCAATTTTATTCCGGCTAGCTAGAGCACTAGAATTTTATCCAGAGCTCTAGCCAAAAGACAATACAAATTTCGAATGTTTTCTGACAGCAGCACGTAGAATTTGTTTCCATTTTCTACGTGCCAAAGGGTAATTTATCGTCATTTAAAATTTTTGATCATTTTTTTTTTGTCTAGATAAAAAGCACACGCATTTTAATAACAGCTTTAGGCTGAACGATAATAAAGGTTTTAACCATTTCGTTAGCTCCAAAAGAAGAGTCTATTGCCCTTTTATTCTTAAAAGCAATTTATTGTAAATTGAAATTTTGACCACTTGCCGATGAGTTCAAAATTTCTATTTCAATTGGAGCTCTGTGCTGGATGACAATATAAGTTTAAATTAAATTTTGTATATAATTTATTTTTTTGACATGAATGATAATTCCTGAAAACGATCCGCTCTGACGTCATCATGACACTTTTCTCAAAATTTCTGCTGAAGATCTAGTGTGCACTGCCTTTTATACATATAATGGGCTCTGCTATGCATCACCTTCTGCAGTTTATTTTACAGACATGGATTGAGTACCGGAAGAGCTATTTTATATTAATCAGTTGTTCCTTCACAATTGTCGAGCAGTGTAATTTAGTGTTTCTATCATAATTTTTCGTCATTACTATTATAACTGTGCAGTATGAATGAATAATAGTCTGTGAAGTTTCTGTTCAGCAATTGAATGTATTTTAGATCTCGGTTGCCAAGTTATTGTTCTTTGTTGTCAACGCGAGAAAGAAATATCAGTTTTTTTTTAGCAATCTGCATGCATGATTACTCATATGTGTTTTATGTAATACTAAGCGACTCGTTTCCTACTTGCTGCGTTCGCCAACACGCCATTTACGCATTCATTAACAATTAGAACTAGCTACGATTGCTCAGGCGATCGCGATTTTATACACACAAACTATAAATTTTAGTGATTAAAGACATAACTTGTTCTTTATTATTAAATAAACTCATGACATTTTTATTCTTTCTCAACCTCATTCAATGAATGAAAACCAAAGGAAGAGATTAGGAAAGAAAATACATAGATGACCAATCAAAACGCACCACGGTATTTATAAGGCTTCGTTGGAACTGAAATAGAGCTATAAATAATTATGTACGCAAATTGATAAATATAATTCAAGAAAAATATAGACCAGCTTGCTGATATAAACAATTTGATTTTAACCTTTTATATCTGCTTAGCTTATAGCTCATATTTTTTCCACCTTTTCGTTGCTCTCGCGTGAAAAGAATTTTCAGTCTGAAATTTGTAAACATTTGCATTTTAGTATTCAGGATTATAACTTCTCACTCATTTGATATTTCAGGTTTCACTTCTTTGTGTTCTTAGTTCAACGCAAGAAAGAAATTTTATCGGTTTTTTAACTATGTATATACGTTTTAGTGTTGCATATAATTCTAAGTGGTTTACCCCTTGCTCGATGTCCTCCCCGTCCCCCGAAATTGCTTTCGTTCGTTGATAAAACGCATATCTTTCTTGCATCAATTATAAAATACAAAAGTTTAAATATCGGTATAAAATATTATTAAATCTGCATAAATTATAATACATAATTAAAACAAAAATGCAGAAAAGTTTGTATTTATGAATAGTTCTTTTTCAACCTTTCATTTTTGCACAGCTTATAATTTGGCTTGCTTCGGAACATTTGAAAACATGCATGTTTAAGCGTTCATGCTTATGACTGCTCATTCACATGATACAAACGCAAAAGGAAATTTAATCTTTTTTTTTAATCGTGAACATGCATTAGATGTTTTATATAAGATAGATTTCCAAACAATAGAAAATTATACCTATTGTTAGGTAAATTGGAATAGCTTATCTCCATTTATAAATAGGTAAAGAGGTAATAGGTAATAGGTAATCAGTATTTACCTTTTCTTAGGTATCCAACATCTTGCTCCTCCGTATAAATTTGAACTGTACTACAAGAAGTAACAGTTATTGTCAAACTGAACAAAAACAAATACAAATATCGATTTCCCATTGGTTAAAATTAAAATCAAGTTAGGAATTAAAATTTAAGACCGCAAACAACACACATTTCTATCTTGTCATAAAATCAAAAAGAGGTTCTGATATATTTTGACACTCCGAATATGATTAACCTGTTAGATTATTTGTTTATTCCATTATTTTGATTCAGGTGTTACGGAAACATATTGGGTCGTCAACATCTTATCGTTGCCCTTTGGATTCAACTCAAAATGTTCGGCATTGCGCTGAAAAACTTCCTGTCTCACGTGATTATCAATAAATAATTGAGTGAACGGAATTTAATATGACGTTAGTGTAGCAGTATGCAAGAATGTAAACTATCTTCATTCTTCTTCATAATATATATTTATCTTTATACTATAAATATTATAGAAGTGTTTTCCGGGAACTAAAAAAAACAAAAAGAAAACAGAAGAAATTGAGAGGGTATTTATGGGTGATTCTTTGAAAACATGACAATTCAGAACAAAAAGTTTCTTCAAATTTAAAGTCATCAAAATAATCTAATTTTTTTTTTGTATATTTATTTAGTTACATTTATGAGTATCTTACAGATAGCAGTGTAGTTTATTGACATTTGCTCGAGAAAAAAAAATAAAATAGAAATTCACCAAATTTTGAATGCCAGGAAAATGACATATTAGTTTAGAAGTAAAAAAAAAACACACAGTCATTTTAAGCTAATAGTAAGTAACTCAAACTAAGCCTTTACGTTAGATGGACCGTGAATTGCTTAAATTAATTCTTTTATCCACTGTAGAAAGAATTAAAAATGTTTTTGTTGCTGATATGTACAAAATAAAATTGTGTATAATAATCAATCATTAAATTAAAAGAAAAAACTTTGATTGCATTCAAGCATATTACAATCTTACATAAGCTTGGTATTAGGTAAATATTTGCTTTTTCTCTTTACATTCAACTGTCTAAAAAAATTTCTGGTAACTGTTTCAATGTCCTGGTATTCATAAGTCAGGAAAATGACAGCCAGGATAATAACAATTTGCCATTATATAGCATTTAACTTTACTTTTATTTATCATTTCGGCCTAAGATGTTTACATTCTGTAGAAAACAGCAGGATTTCATGAAATAACTCAGGTAGATCTATGTAGTTTATGTTATTAATGATTTCAAGAAGACAACATAAAAACCTGCTCACATTGAAAAATTTTTTGAAATAGCTTTTGAACCAGAAAGTTGTTACTTTATACACGCAATAAAACATGTTCAGATAGGATGGTATTCTAATCAATCTAATAACATAAGATATTGATTGCTGGCGCTATCTATTTTGGTTATAAATCACTAAATAAAAGTAGCCAGGAAAATGACAGATTTTCTTTTAACAAATAAATTATTGAAAGAAAAAATTATTTTCTACAAAGTTTTTGTAAATAATACCCTCCGCATATATTGCAGAAATGCTTACAATGGCTGAGATAAAAAAAAAATTTGATATTGAAAAATTTATGGAATGCTTTGAAGCTAGTTATTATTGAAAATATTGTTTGTGATATACCAGGAAAATGACATTTTCAAATTCAATTAAATTTTTTAACTATATAAAACAGCCAAAGCTAGTACAAGACCGTTTTAAAGTACTAACAGCAATGCTATTTATTAAAATTAAAAAAAAAAGTTCTTTTAGTAGTATAGTATTAGATCTTGGAGCAGGAGACTTTAAATTGTCATATTTTGTGAGAATCACCCATATATCCTCTTTAAATTTATACTAGCAGCGTAGTCACCTTTCAGAATTATCTTATACAACCTCTTAAGTAGTTTAATGTCAATCCACTCATTAATATAATTAATTATCAATCCATACCGCGAGTATTGCATTATGTATAAAGTTAAAAAATTGAGAAAATATGGTATTAAAAAATTAAATATGGTACATAAAATTTTATTTATAGTTTATTTTTTATTATTTATTATTTTAAAAAAATCCGGAAAACAAAATAAAGAAAAGATATAATCTCTTCAAAAGGCAAGAGCTTTGCGCCTCTAATATGGTAGCATGTGATCTATGTTTTAAGTTTCTACAGTTATTATAAATAGGATCAGAAATATATCTAAATAAATACATGGAAACTAAGTTTTTATTTCAATAAAAATACAAAATTATTATAAGTAAATACTTATAGTATAACTGACTATTCAACACTAGTTAAATTATTACTTTAGGCAATCAAACGAAAGGAAAAATAAATACATAACGTATAATTAATTTTTTACCTCTACTTAAACTATTACTTAAGACGACCTAAAAAGAAATGACAACTATGTTGTCAATAGAGAAATACCCGAATTTATGGTGCCACATAAGAGAATTCTATATGCAGGTTAATAATTGATTCAAAACGCTTTTGGCAATTGCACATCAAGTGAACTAATTTTCAGATCAAGATTATGCTATTTCTAATTTTAATGAAATTCAATAAAGATGAGTAACATGCATCAGAAGAGTAATCAGATGAGTAACATTCGGCAATTATATAATCAATTTCATTTAGAAATGGTAAAGTTGAAGAAGATCTGAGTTACGAATTACTTGACCTAGAATGGCCAATGTAATTCTACCCAATTTTTTAGTTTCGAATTATTAAAATGTTTCCTTAGGAATGATACGCGCAATGGGAATGATTTCTATCAAACCATTTTCAATTTTAATCAAACTTGATACAGAAATACGAAATTTGTTAAAATAAATCGTGCTAATTTCCAGACCAGGGAAGTAATTTTATATCCAGAGCTTAGCATATTTAATTTGAATGGAACGTGATAGAGTAATGCTGAAATCTGTCAAAATTAAAGCCCTGGATAAGCTTAAGTAGCGACATTTCGCCATTTTGGTAATTGCAAGAGAGTTGCCAACTTGGTCCGGACAGCGAAAAAATATTTTCAAGTGATAGTTTTTTAATGTATGATTTTAGGTTTAAAATTTGATTTATAGGTTTTTTATTCATCACTACTTTTAAATAATTCGAAAGTATAAGTCATACGTAATTTTTTTAAGGGTTCACCCTGTTGAAAAACAGCAAAATTAACCGGAAATCTGCAAATTTTTACTTTGTAGTACTCTATCGTTTTCTAAAATATTCTTTCGAATCCGGTGGAGTTGTAGTCTCTGCTGAAACAGGAAATTCACTTAAACAGCATTAATAATTTTGGCAGAATTTCAAATTTTTTTTTAAAACACTATATAATCTTGCATTTAATTGTCATATCTTATCGGTATTACAGAAATTAGATTTAAAGCTATTTAATTTATATAGATTCATTATGATTTTGACATATTGGATGAGTATTTATAGTATTGTATGGTAAATATTTTATTTTAAAGAATAATTCTTAATATTTCAAAAAAACAAAAACAATTAGGTTACACTAGTTATAGTACTTTTAATTCTGACTACAAAAACGTTCAAATATTTAAATACTATTGGAATCTATTTTTAAAGGTTTCTAACTGAAAAATTATTTAAATTACAAACAATATTTGTTGTCTATTTTCATTTCTTTCAGGTGAATATTGTAAAATTTGAAACAGATGAATAAATAAATCAATTTCATACTTACCTCACATAACATCACACATTTCATACTGTTTTCGTTTTGAGTCCATTTATTTTTGCCTATTCTATGCAGTCATACATTTCGTCGCTCTTTATTACAATCTCCAACAGGGAAACAATATAATTTAAAGCCTAATTTTGACTTATTAAAACACCCAAATGCGCCATAACCTGTCATTATTAATTTAAAAGTATGAAACAAAGTTAAGAAAAAAAGGAAAATAGAAATAACAGATCAAGCGAAAAAACACTTCACCTTTCAAACTAGTGACCAAAATGGCGACTATTATCCTTGTGATCGGTAAGCGAATTGACAAAACATACCGTAGATTATAAACTAGGCGATTGCAAGTGGAATTGGCGATGGATTACGCGTAAATGTCGTGGGTAGGACTGGGCGATATTAGAAATTATATATCGTGATATATCGTCAGTTTTGCATCGCGATATAGCGATGTATCGCGATATAGTATTTTTGAATTTCATNGAGTGATGCTACTTGAGTTGCTAAAATAAGCTCTGCAAAGTTACAGACCAATTAATAAACTTAGAATTTTCTCTTTTAATGAAACTTATATAAATTTGTCGAAATATATAACAATAAGTTCTGCTAAGTTTCAAACCGAGAAACTGCAATTACATCAGTAACAGTTCCATATTTGAAATTCTACTTTAAATGGTTTCTGGATATATATACTACAGATATTTTTGATTTTACATCCTTCAGCTCCAACTTGAACTAGATGTCGGCAGACTCACACAAATAATGTATCTATAGTAGTGTACTGTACTATTCAATAGGAAAGCTATTATATACAAATTAGCAGGCACAGAGACATGTTGTTTAAAAAATCTTAAACTATACCGTGGAATTCATAAGCATATTCTGTTAAAAGATGGTAATATTTTGCATTAATTGAGCACTAATTTAATGTTTGCTTTATCAAGTTTTTGAAACAGTTACTTTACTAAGTTTTCGAATTTTCTTGTAATTTATGTAATTTGTATACTATTTATGAAATATTTTTCACTGTATGAAGTAATATAGTTTATAAAATAGCACTTTGCACACAATCAACAAAAACTATTAGTTTAATGTTTTCCTCGCCTTTTGGAGGTTTAAAATAAATCCAAATTTAGGTTATTACTAAAATTCTACCTGCATCAAACTTGAAAGAATTACAATTCGATACTCCAATGTGTAATACCAGATGAAAAGTTATGATCATGTATAGAAAATCAAAGGAGGTAAAGAACAATTGGTTTCATAAATTTTACGTCGATTTTCTTAATGTAATAATCTAAATTAACACATTAAAGCCCAGACACAAGATTCAACGCATGGAAAACACTTATGTGATTAAAGTGTAAGCACATTTTTGTTCATCAAGTTGCCATTTCTTTCTGAGACTTACTATGATATTTTAGCTTTTAAAAACTACTTTTACTTTACTTTTATTTACAAAAATTGGGCACCTGGGCCTCTTAGCGGCCCCTATCCCATACATCTAGAAATTTACAGAAAATTTATAGTAATAACATTTTGAATTTAGCAGTGGATGTGGTAGCTAATAGAAAAACAAGCACTTTGCTTGAGTAAATATAACATTTGAATATCTGATTCATCGAATCTAAGTTGACATATATAAATATAAACATAATTTGATATATATATACGTAAGTTGACATAAATAAATATTAACATAAATTGATACATATTTCACTAATTAAATTTCTATATTTTAACTAGCACATATTTAATTATGACATACATTGAAGTTCATTCGAATACATTGTGGTAGCCATAAAAAAATCAAGCCGTTCGCTTGTGAAATAATAAAACAATGAAAAATTCAATATGACAAATTGACGTTTTTACATAACATTAGACATATTGATTGTAGACTTTAATTTAAAATAAAGATATAACATGATTTGATATGTACAATAATTGATTTTTGAAAAATGAAGAACATAATTGATGACTTTTAAAAACTACTGCGCACAACTCCAAATCCATATATAAATATTTTAAATGAATAGTGGTAGACTTTTTCTGGAAAACAAATCCTAATAATGGGGTATGTATTTGTGCTACTACTTTCTTTCATTTTTGAAGAAAAAAAAGAACTATCTCTTTTTAAAAATTACGCTAATTTCAACCAAGTTTCGTACAAATATGAAAACAATTTTTAATTACAAATAACTTTTTACTGCAATAATAGGAAAAGTTGTTCCATCTAACAACTTGCGTCATTTATTCATAAACTGGGGGAATTCGTTCTTCTGTTAGTTACCACTTAAGATTTAATGATCATAAAAAAGGAATGCTAATAAAGCTATTACGAAAAAAAAAAAAAATCTGATATTCTAACTGTTCCATTTTGTGCTCAAAAGAAATTAAAGAAATTTTAGAAAATTGAAAACTGAAGTTTGAACAATTTTGTTAACAAGCCTAAGTTTTAAAAGGCTCATCTCAAAACAACTGAATCAAAATGACATTACCTACATATGTTGGAATTTATTAACTAAGAACCAAATATTGTAACTTAAATTTCGGTACCATTAAAAAGGCTCGATGCTAATTAAGTTTTCTCATAAAGAGGAGATAGTTTCTATTTCTGAAATATTAGCTATGAGATCCCTCTTCTCAAGAATGTATAACAACTGGAAAATATTTTTGCTTGGGTCCGGAGCTTAGATATTTTCGCATCGCTGATTTCAAATCTGAAATCAGTTTCTCTCTTCAACCTATAGTTTTCACGCAATTCAATAATACATCCCTAGGGAGGATTTTTTTATAATTCACTCGAGTAAATACTGAAGTGACTCCACTTCTCTACTACACAAAGAGTGGTAGGAAGAAGGCGTAAATATATTTCAGTTTATGATGCGATATAGGTTATATGTTTTTTCAGCGAAACAGGCAAGTGTGCATGCATGCATAATAAAAGACCATACGTTCTTCATAAATTTGTACATTAGGACAAAATAAAATAAAATAAAAATACTATTTTGAAAAGAAAAACTTTTTTAGCTTTCGGAACAAAATTAATTTCAGATTTGAAAGCTTTACGCGCCAAAATTATATTTTATAACCGTCGTTGAACAACCGACTCAATTTCGCGTTTACAACTACCAATGTTCAACTCAGTAGCCTTGTAATTTTAGACCCAATCTAGAATTCAAGGGAATTCCTGGATCGAGTATTGAGAGAAATTTGCCTTCTTGAAGGCCTTTTTGGTGGAACTAACCCACATTTGCGCTACATCGAAAGGAAGACCACAAGAATCTCCCATGGTTAACCTGACGGCAATGAAACGCTAACCTGTGATCCATCTACCACTAAGGATATTTTACGTTATTCCTGTGGTCAGTGCGAGACAGGTGTGGAATTCGTATTGACCACTCATCACTGGAATTCGAACCCGGTTCACCTCTTTGGAAGGCGAACGCTCTATCCCCTGCGCCACCACGGCTGGCACCAAAATTATAGGTAAGATTGAGTATTTGTTTGTAAACGCACCAAAAAAAAATTGTTCCCCCTGTAAATTAAAGCCTATTAAATTACAATAACCTCAAAAAAATCTCGTCACCACTTTAAAAAATTTTCAAGTAACCTCGTACTGTATATCAAATATCAGTCTTCAAAACTTCAAGGCGAAATTTTATCCGTGTGTTTTTGACCAAGAGATCTATAAAATACATCTAGAAAGTGAATTTTTAGAATTATATAGATAGCTAATAATGCAATTCCTTTACGTAAAATGTGTATAAGAAACTCCTATAACTGAAAGCCTCCACACGATTTCGTAAGGCAGTCCAATCAGTATTATGCTTACACAACAACTATTTAAAGCTGTTTTTTAAAGGCTTAGTCGTCTTTTGAAATGATGTTTTTATGTTAACAATTATACAATGGATTTTTTTAATATAACGTGAAAACTAAAATTATATAGTATTTTTCATTTTTAGGGCTGACACAGGCGACTAAAATAGCAAAAATCTACAAATTGTATTAAAATTTGCAACTTTTTCTATTAAATTTTATTTTCATAATAAATATAAATAATTTGCAATGTAATTTATGGTGGTAGTTGCGATTGAATAATTAGATAAGTTGAGTTTTTACCACTTCTATCAACTATTCACCACTTTTAAAATTTTTCAGGGTTAAAGAAACTATGGGGCATTAAAAAAGGATACATTGTTTTATTTCATTTCCTGTACGACTTATCAGATATGCTTCACTAAAAATGTAAGAAGTGGTAAAAACTTGGTAAAAAAATGTAAGAAGTGGTAATTTATTTTTTGTCTATTTAAGTTTTTAAATTATTCAATCGTTAAAACCATCATGACATACATTGTAAATTATTCATACTTAAAATGGAAAATATTCTTTGCAAAATAAATATACAGAATAGAAAGAAAAAAAGTTTTATTTTATTCTCTTTTAATAGATTTTAGCTTTTGATTATGCATCACTTTGTACATGAGTCGCCTGTGACTTCCCTGCTGATAGATCAGATAATATTAACAAAAAAATTTAAAAAATATACTCCTAACATTTCTTTTTTATTTTCATTTATTTTATAGCTTTGTTTTCATTTTTAGTAATTTTTATTCATTTCTTTTGAAGGGATAAAATTTTGTTATCGATCTTTTGAAATTCATGGAGCAGAATTACTATCTTAAATCAATTAATGTAGAAAAAAACATTTTTATTATTCAGTACACAGTTTTCAGCATGTAAATCACATTCCCTTTCATCATAATATCATTAAAAATATCACTTTTTAAAGCATTTCTGTAAATCAGTATGTAAAAAAATGTTCAATTCTTCATATCTATTTTAGAAAGAAAACCAGTTTGGAATATCAGTTCCTGATAACCTTTCATTAAACTTTCTATTTAATCTTCCATTCTGCTCGTCAGTTAAAACATTCTTCCAATCACCAACGATTCCTTTTCGAATAAATTTCAATTCAGGCAATTCCTCGGGCAGATTTAATTTAGAAATAAACTCGGCTTTGTGCCTCAAACCTTCATAAGCCATTTGCTCAGATGCTGTTTTTATTTTTTTAGAGTCACCCATATCGTTGAGATGCTTTTTCATGTAATCAAAACTACTGTATAAAACAATGTTGTTAAACACCGCATTGTCTCTTTCTATTTCGGAAATAAATTCATCGCCAAGGAATTTCGCCAAGGTAACGATAACACTCCTTATATCTTTTTTCATCTCCTCGTAGGTAGTGAAGAAAACGTTTTGGTCCTTACGATGAGGGTACCAGGACAACAAATGATCAAAATAATCATTGTACTCTACTTCACCATTCATGAAAAACTCGAAAAAATCATCAAACTTACCATTCCAGAAAGCAAATTCTGGCTGACTTTGCGTGTGATGGTAAAAAGATAAAACACAATCCTTAGGATTTCGAGAGACAAAAATGTATTTGGAATTAGGCGAATAAGGTAGGTGATCGTAAGGAAGATGTGTCTTAAAAGCACCTGGGCGGGGCATTTTTTCGATGCCTTCTTTGCCCAGCATATCGATGTAAGGACAATGCTTTTTAAACTGTGAGATATCTTCTAATTCTTTTCCTTTCCGGAAAATGTAAAGAGCTACGTTTTGCATCCATGTTGTCCCACATTTAGGGTAAGTCACGATAAATATGTCTTCTGCTTGTGGTTTGTAATCCAGAGCTTCACGGAAACATTTTGGTGAAAAGAAACCAGGGTATGTAATACCATCCATTGTGTTATACAATGGTTTTTTCACAATGGAATTTGTACTAGAAGCCATAATAGTGCTCAACCTAAAAAAAAAAATCTTTCTTATTACTTTATAAATTAGCACAGATATCTTAATCTAGAACTTGGATAGTTAGATTTTTCCTGCGACAAATTAAAACAAATAAAATTCAATGACAATGTCATTCAAATAATACAGAATAGTTTGGATTACCTATTTTTTGTAAGGAAACAAAAATGCATAAAGAAGTGGAGTAAAGATTGACTTTATGAAAAAGTCCCGGGACTAAATCTAATTAAATTAATCTGCAAAATGTGGTTTTAGTAGTTTAAGAGGGGTCTAAAGTTTGGGTCTCATAATGTTAATTTCACTTTTTTCGTATTTCACCTTAGGTACGTCTGAGTCCATTGAAAAAAATTTTAATGAAGAATATAAATCCCTCAGGGCTTAGGCTTGGAATTAAACGCGTAAAAAAATAAAGGAGGATGGAGACCTACTCCAAGTTGAGTTCAAAAAATACATTGGGAAATTTCAAACTAAATTTGAAAATCAGGGTCCAGACGAGTCAAACGCCGCCTCGAAAGAAGTCGCGAAGGGTAAATATTCGACGTAGATGTAGAGAACATACAAAGAAGACCTTGAGACCCTACATATGAAGCCCCTTCCCATGAGGAATAACCGAGAGCTCGATGAAGTCTCTTTCTCAATAAAGTAAAAAAAAAAAGGGAACACCACTGGATCATTAGGATCAAGCCGAAAGCTTTTAACAGGGTTATAAAACGAAGCAAAGTCAAATTACGATGGCGCACATATAATGTTAAAGACTACTTCCGAGTACTAAAGTATTATAAATGTAATAGATTCGGCGATATGGTGAAGGACTGTCTGTGTGATGAGTCCTGAGTAAACTACTATTCATTGGGACAACGTATAAATGAGTGTACAGCCAAGAGTAAGTGTACTAGCTGTACAGAAGTGAACACAAAGTTCGGACTCAATCTGAACACAAAACTTCAATGGTTGGTTCGAGGGGAACAAAGGTCGTTCCCCTCGAGCCAACGAGAGCCGAAACGCATTCGGAAAAGGACTGATTACTCGTGAACACCTACTACTGCTACACTGATTTTTTGCAAGTCGTTTAAAAGGTGTTCTTCAATCTGCTACAACCAAGTTTTCTTTATGTGTAACTTACATCAATTTCTTGTATTTTAATTAATTACTTTTTCAATAAAGTTTTTCTTGGGTTAGCCTTCCAGGCTGAGTATCCTCAATAGACCGCAGGATAGTTGTTGTCTCTCCTGCTGTTGGTCTTAAATTTCTGGTTTCTACTGTGGGATTGGGCTATAAGTCTTTTGTTCCGGCAGGTCATCTTTGTCTATCGAGTCGATTGGGATGTTTCTCGTCGTGAGTAACCCGGTGTCGTATGCAGACAAGTCCGCATTGCTTGGTTTTATCATGGTGAATGGGGTGCTGTTGTTGCGGTGAGAATTCCATTCTTATTAAATAGCCCATGCAAAGTCGCGGGGCACCGTAATCAATTCCTTAACCTATCCACAGAGAGATGCACCGCACTTCCAGATGTTTATTAATTTGCATCACTATTTGTGCGTGGTCCACCCTCACTATGACGACTACTTCGTAATGATCCATAATCGCAGAAATTGTGATGCAAATTATTAAACATCTGGCGGCTATGTGCATCTCTCTGTGAGTACTTTTGAGCTGAAATAATTTTCTGTTGCTGGTGCATTTCCCTCTGTCAATCCATACATCATTTTGCAGATCTGCATGCTCCTTTGCATGCGATGACAACTCAAATGACTGCGGCAATGCAGGTCTATTACATCCAATGTTTTGAGAACAACGCCACCTAGCAGTTAACGAATACGTTTCTGACTATGGGTTGCTATGCAGTTCAAGAATCCTTCCTTCCCCTACTTTCCCTTAAAGTTTGTCCCAATAATCCTGGAACACCCTGTGTTACAGCGGAAATAAAAGACTCGGTTCACTTAAATAAATGCTTAAAAAGAGATTATTACCGTATCTTTTTTTTTAAATATATAAAGATTAATATCAATTTGTTCTCACTATTGTGTTAAAATTTAAAGAAGTCCTAAAACTCAGGTGAATGGTTACTTATTTTTGCATCTCTATATCTCGACCCATTTCTGTATAGAATACATATTATTTAAACTTTTCTCTTCGTTCACATTCCAGTTATTAGAAAGTAGTCACTTCAAAGTTAAAACTTCAAGGAGAAGGACCATAAACGGCCTCAGTCACTCGAGTAAATTTTCATGATATTGTTATCTTTTGACTCCTCTTTTAAAGTAAAGTCAACACGCTTGACGCGTGGTGGCTCAGAAGATAAAGCGTTCGCCTCCTAATGAGGAGTTCAGTTCGAATCCCAGTTTTGGCTGGTTCCACCCGGCTCGCACCGGCCACATTGCTGATGTAACATCGTCGGGCAAACCATAGGAGGTTTTCGTGGTTTCATGGTCCATGTTACGCAACTGAAAATTAGTTTAATGAAAAAGTCCTTCACGAAGGTTAATTTGTCTCAATGCTTCACTCAGGAGTTCCCTTTTCTTCTGGTGGGGTTCAAAACTGTAAGGCCACGGATTTGAACATTGATAGTCGGAAACTCAGAATTAGTTCATCTGTTCAGCGCCGGTTATAAAGTAAAATATAAAAGAAAAAGTTAACACACTTATTCTAAATGTCTGTGGTAATCATGCTTCTGGTAGAAAATTGGAGTTCTTCTTTTTATTAAAAAAAATTTAACCAAATTACATACTTGTAATTTGCTTATAAACGTACTTTATTAAAATAAGTATATAATTTGCAGAAGCAAAGTATATACTTATTTCAATAAAACGAAAGTATAAAATGCAGGGCTGCCAACTTTCCACGTTTTTTGTAAACATTTATTCTAGTGGAAGCTATGAATATGTTTTAATATATAATTTTTTATTCAATTAAATTTATTTCCCGCACCACTACATGTAAATGATTTAAAAGTTCATATGCATCGACACTTTCTTTCAACTCCTGCGCTGTGGGGCTTTTAAAATGTTGGCAAAATTACCAAAAATTCTGAAAGCTTGGATTTTTAATTGTTTACCACTATATGAAATATTTTGCAAAACGCGTAGTAGTTGGCAAGGCTGGAAATATATCGAGTGATTTTATAATCAAACATTTTTCTTTTTCTTTAAGCGACAGAAATTCTTTTTATATAATCACTTGTTCCTCTGTAGTTAGTCTATTTCCCTCGAGTATTGAATAAATACAACACTTTGCTGCAGTGTAAAAACTACTTTAAACCTTTTAGTATCTTACAATCTCTTAGCTACGTAAAAGTTTTTTGAAATAATAAGTTGTTTCTTAGTAGTTGCCTTATTTCGCTCTGATTTTGTATAAGCGCAACATTTCACTGCGCGATTCTTTACGAAAAAAATTTGATGAAGTATATAAGCTAAAACTAGATAATATTATTTTTAGTATTGGCTATCACTTTAGTTTTAAATAAATATTGCAGTCTAATAATTACAGAATTTAATATGTTATTTCCAAATTGGAGGCAATAACAATCCCCGCTACGTCAAATGTGTAAAAAATCACTTTAAAGAATGAAACAAAAAAAGAAGACGAACCCGTAAAATGTTCTAACTGCGAAAGAGACTTACTGCCAGTTATGAAAAATGCCTTGTTTGCATCGCATGGTCGAGAAGCACAACAAAATAACCAAAAATCCAGTACTGTCAAGAAAATCAATTTTCGAGAACTAAAACTACGTTGCTGCGGCCTTAGAAGAAAAATCAAATACCACACTCTCTATTGCGAAGGAAAGAATAAAAGTTTCCAAAACGGTAGCTGAAAAACTGACTACTCTAACATTAATCGTTAAAGACATCTTAAGTGGATTGGACAGTAATTATCAGGAAGCCCTCAAAATAAACTATGGACAGAAACAACAGAGATAATTTTTTCCCTTTAAAAATAGCGTTCTGGAACGCGAATGGCCTAAAAACGAAGATTGAAAAACTGAAACATTTTGTCCATGAACACGATGTCAACATCGAAGCAGTTAACGAAACGCAGCTCAATAAACCAAATGGAAGCAAGACTGCTAACTATAACCTCTTTAGGTGCGACAGGACGGCCTTTTGAGAAGGTGGCGTTGCCTCATATGTTAAAAAGGCATACACAACTGCAATGTTTAGTTCTAAAAGTGATTACGATTTTGAAGAAGTCTCAGTGGTAATCACCCTATCTAATGTAAGGAGATTTGAAATTACAAGCCCTTACAATCCTTCTCAAAATAATATTAAGGAAGATGTCATCTAAGATTTCTCCCCAGCAATTTGATAGCATTGTTGTGGAAAACATCAACTCAAAAAATACTGACTGGGGCTGATAATGACAGATACCTAACACAAATTATAACAAAACACAATCAAAATTTTTATGCTCCAAGTGAATCAACAAATCACTCTTTCTCTGGTGACATTCTAGATATCCTAATGACGAATTCCAGCGCCCCTTTCTCTCTAGAAGTAGTGCATGCATTAAGCAGTGACTACCTACCAGTTTTAGCGACTACTTGTTTTGATAAGGAGAAACAAAAAAAGAGCTACAAACAGGAAAACAAATTGGTTACTATACGAAAATATTTTAAATCAATGCTCTCATTCCAACAATATCAAATAAATAGAAGACATAGAAAATGAAGTAAATAACTTAACGAAAGATATCCAAGCCGCCTACGATGAAGCTACTGAAATCATTAACATTTGACCAGACTGCAAAATTATTCCCAAAAGCATTGAAGAGCAGATAAAATTATAAAACCAAATCAGGAAAAAAAATAAAAATACTTGAGATCCCAACGTAAAGTCAGAAGTTAATAGATGGCAAAAAAGCTTAACTTTAAGCAACGCATTAAGCATCGATACTGAAGACAATGACGCGTGAAAAATGTTTAATTCACTTAAGACTAGCAGGACTAAACATGCCCTTCAATACCTCTCACGAAAAAGTCTACTCAGATCACGAGAAAGCTGACATTTTTGACAACACCATTGATGAAATTGGTTGATGACAACACCATTGGCGCAACTGAAAATTAATTTAATGAAAAAGTTCTGTACGAAGACAAATTTCTCCTAATACTTGATCCCGGAGCTCCCTTGTCTTCTGGATTGGGTTCAAAATGACAAGGCTACGGAGTTGAATAGGAGTACTCGTAAACCCAAAATATTTAGTCCGTTGTTCAACGACAGAGTTGTTTCCAGAGCAAAATATATAGGCATCGCCCTTACCAACACCCTCAACTGGAACCTTACTTACTAATGCCATAAGCTTATCCTTCCCTCAGATCTGTACAGTCGAGAAACTCGAAGATAGCCCTCAACACCAAGACTCATATATGCATCATGTGTACACTCCCAATCCTTAACTATACCTCTCCCGTTTAGCAATCGTCAAATAAAACACAAATCAGAACATTACTCACCTTCGAGTTTAAAATTCTAAGAAGAATCAAAGGCGTATCCTGGTTCGTGAGAAATAATAAAATTTATAACGATCTAAACTAGACAATTACCTGCAACAACTAAATACGTCGTTTTTTTTTAATGAATCCGCGAAATGCGGAAACTGTGACTTTTATCAAATCTTCTATTTCGAATGAATCGACACAAATATTAAATTCAGTTCAGGGACAGACTTTTTTCTAAGCGACGGTGTTTTATCTGGACACTTCAATTCCTTATCAATTTAATTCACAGCGCATCAAGATGAACTGCATCACTCTGCACCAGTGAAACCCTTCGGGGGGGAAGGGGGAGGCGAGGGAGTGATGCATTGAATCAAGATGCCCGCTGTTTTTATCACTCTTCGATCTCAATGCATATTTTGTAAATAATTTTTTCCCTATCTCAGATTATCTTTTATTTTACCTCATAGGGTATTTTATTTTATTATATTATGTACACTTACTAACGTAATCTTACCACCCCCCACTCTACCCTTAATCGTATTAAATTTTCGATGAAGGAGTAGTTCTAAGCACTCAGTATCCAGAATTTAAATTGGCAAAATTATTATAAGTATTTATGATATTAGTATAATTTGGTATACAATGTTTCACAAGATGAATTTCATGATTGAGTTATCAGTTTTCATCTTTCTAGAAAAAGATTAAATCTGGTAATAGGTAGCGTTTGGGAAATAAATAGCTGTTTCAAAATTTATTTTCTATTGCGAGGAATAGAAATACATGTAAGTGAAAAAAAATCCGTGGAAAATTCAATTGCGGAGTTGAACAACATTTATCGTTTGATATTGTTCTGTATAAATAAAATGCAAAGAAAACATAAGAAATAAATTAAACAAATGACAATAAAAACTCATTATCTAGTGATCAGCTCACACGATTATATCAGCAAATCTTTTTATTGTTATTTTACGACTTCATTTATTTTGATTTTTTTAACTTCAATTTTTATATTTTTCTTCCTTACTTTTTTTTTGTACTTTACTTTATTTATTTATCGTTTTATATTTCTATTTTATATTATGAATTTTATGTACCTGTAAAGCTTATGTGCCGTAAATAAAACATAATAAATCTTTCAATTGTAAATTTTCGAATTTTCTTCGAAATCTTCTGTTTTTATTTTTTGCCTCTCATATAT